ATGCTGTTCATTAACATGAATAAAATTGTTAAAACCAAGAAAATAGATAAGAAGTTTAGCACTAATATGACTAAAAATCATGTGTTCAGAATTAGTCATAGGTGAAAAAATATTATTTTGAAGTGAAAAAAAACTTTAACTAATAGATAAGATAATGAATCTATATTGAATACATTATCATGTATATAAGAATAATAATTAGAATTCTTCTGATATAGTGCTGCTAAAATTTGTACAAAACAAAGTTTATAATTAATATAAAAAAATCTATAACCATGCTTATAAAAAGAATTATGTTTTTTAACATTAGCAATAGTTATTCTATTTAGATCTAAATTTTAAAAATAATTTATTAAATTAGCATTTAAACTATCAGTATTCATATTTAATTACTTATCAACTTTCTTATTTGCATTTAATAATATAAACAAACAACATTAATTTTTCTACTGAATTCTATGTAATTTCTTAGTTTGTAATATTTTCAGATTTGATGTATAACTTGCAATTAGATTATTAATTGTATTTGAGAAAACAGAATTCATATGATTAAGATTTTGAATTCTACAAGTAGTCTTTCACTTCATATTTTGATTATTATAATATTTGTAATTTTTTTGTAAATTAACTAGATATGAAATATCTAAGATTTCAGTAATGCCAGTATAAAATTTTTTATATATTTCTAAATTATAACTGTTTAAGGAATTTGTGTCTGATAATAAAAAAGCTAACTTAAGAAATGCATTTCTTAAATCATCTTCAATATCATTATTATGAATATTAATTGTATTAATATTAACTACAGTGGTTGCTGCTATGGCAATTGCGTATAAATCTAATATTTTATTATTTTAGAACAAATCATTAAAATTATCAAAAAAATCATTCTCATCATTTTTATTATCTGACTAATTTGATTGTCCTTTAAAAGTGTTTAAAAAATCAAAAAGTTCATTATACAATTAACTATTGAAAGTACTTTTGCCAAATCCCAAGCTTGTTAATATTTCTTGTAAATAGCACAAAGCAAATCATTGTTTGAAGACTATTAATATAATATATTAATAGTTTCTGCAAGTGTTCTAGTATTATAATAATCTAATAAAAATAAATAATTAGAGATTTAATTATATAAAAAATAAAATAGTATATAAATTATACTTACCAACTCCAGAAGTTTTATTCTTCATTACTTCATTTAAAGTACTATTCATATATACCATATATATATATAATACTTTTGAAATCATATATAGTAAATTAGAAAATATAAAGTCATTATTTATTTGTCAACACAATCCAAAAAAATGTTTGCACCTTTTAGATTTATAAAGTTATAGTAATAATGAATAAAAATTATAAAAATCATACTATAATATAATTAGAAGAATCTAATAAAAATAAATTAGAACATTAGCATAATAATATTTTGTAAACTTTAAGAAACTAACAGATATTTATTTTTATTAATGATTCAGCTAAGCTTGTTAAAATATTAAATGTTTGTGTTACAAAAAAATTTTTTTCAAGACTAATATAATTCAGATTAGCTGATCCAGTTGATAGAATATATGATCTTTATATTATAAGAAAGAAATAAGTTATTATAACTATTTGAGCCCTTTCTGAATGTAAAATTGTCTGTTTTGATATATATCAACTAACTCATCTGGTTAAAATATTAAAATCAAAGCATTAAAACAAAGGTTTTAATTTTTAATATGAATATATTATTAACTTACTAATTACAAACAAATAAATAAAAAGCTTATAATGAATATTTTAGAATTATTTGAACTTATAACTTAACTAAAAAGTAAAAAACAGAAAAGGTGATAACTAGCTTTATCATCTTGGCAATCACAATTAATAATGTCTTTCTTATATAATATACTATTATTTTGTTCACATATATTTAATATTTAATCATATATTGTTATATAATATCCTAAAGTAAGCAATTATGCTCTAGAGAATAATGTATTTCGTGCAAATTTTCAGGTATATAACAGATCAGAAACTTGAATTACTGGTTCTACTTCAGGAAAAACAGGCCAAGTAAAGTTTATATTATATATTAGATTACTAAAATCTTTTGTTAATTCAGTATTTTTGGTTATTAAGTATTTTTGAGTATTAAATTCTAAAATAGCATCATTAGCATCAATAGAAATTATATAAATTGTAAGTTGGCTAGCTATTTCTAACACCTTTTCATGCATTTGTAATATATACATTGATGGTTTATTGCTGTTATTCAGAACTAACCTGATTACAACTAATAGAAACTTTGGTAAAGATATTTAATTTTGAAAATTAATTTTTTTTTTTAGAATAACTATGAATTTTTTTATTTATAACATCATAATCTATATGTGCATAGCAGAAACTTTATCATCACTATAAGGTATTATTATTATTAACATTACTCAAATAAAGCACTTACTTAAAGCAAATATAAATAAATTTGTTTTGCAATCATATTATTTGAAATTATATTTTGAATAATTGTTTCTACTTTATTATAATCTTCAACCTGAGTTTGATTATATGAAAAAATAGAACCAACAATACATCTAAGATTTGTGAAATAGCTAAGATGAGGATAAAGTTTAGTATTATCAGTCATCACAATAATTGGTCCATTATAGTTTATAGAATCAGCCAATCTTTTAAACCATATCATATTTTCAAAGCATATACTTGTGTTAGATATATATTCTCTGGATCTTTAGTATAAGAGCCTGTATATAAAATATTTCTAATTTAATTATCTTTTACTATAAGAAATTCTATATATTAAATAAGAAATTGAGTTTTAGATCAAAATTTTGATAATAAGAATTCCAATAAAGTCAAAATTCTGACAAAGTTAGCTAAAGTTAGTTGAATGTTGGCTAGTTTTTTTTAGGATTTTAACTCTGTCAAGATTCTTGTTGTCAGGATTTTAATATAACCCAAAAAATTTTGTATCTTATATTTTATAGTGTTTGTTCTACCAAATTAGCATGATAAAATTTATATTCTCTTGGACTTATACTAGAAAATATAGTTATAAAATAGATAATATTTTTACAATATTTCAAATTTTGAATATCTTTTTGATGTTTCTTATGATAAGCTATTCGTATCATTAATTTACATAGTTCTTTAAATGTAGCTTTTGATTCAAATGCTTCATTTAAACCTTTTCAGCTAATTTTACCCAAAATAGTATTACATTAACTTCATTATTATAAGTAATCAAGATCCAAAGTTTTTTTATATTTAGGTTTTTAAGAAATTTTAAAAGTGAATTATTTTTGAAATATATTTTTTAATATATAATATTAATTTTTTAGTTTTGGTATAGGTTTAGAAAGCATATTCTAAAACAAAAATAAAATAAAAATTATTATAAAAATACAGTAATATAGAAAGGAAAATCTGAATAATAAGGAGTGTGATGACCTAATAAAGTGGTCAGGTTGTTAACCTCCCATGTGGTAGGTTGGGTGTTTAAATCTCATCGACAGCAAAAATTTGGATAATTACCTATGTAATTTTTGTATTATGGCAACTGTTACTAATGATTGGGTTAGGATACCTGTAATGACAGTTACACCAGTATGACTGGCAGGTCATAGGGTATCTGTGTAAGTATAGCATTATATAGAGGATGCAAACTGACAAATCAGGCAGTATAAACACTAGATAAGTTCTTGTGACCATGTAAATTTGTTGAAATTGGATAATAAGAAGTCCATTTGGGAAGACCTGAATAGAGAGGTAGCTGGTTCTTTGATGGCTTTACTGTAAAGGCTAGCCTGGAGAAACAAATACCAAGATCATAGTACCCAGTCATAGTAGTCAAATGGGCAAGAACCTCCAAGTTGAGAGTCTTAGCAGTATCACTAATCAGGTTGCTAGAACAAACCAGAGGAAAAGAATATCAGGCTAACCCAATATACTGATGAACTAGTTGTAGTCCTATACAGGCTATCTGAATTGGAAGTTTGGTAAAAAGGCTGGACAAAAGGCAGAGGTATACTAAAGTACTGAAGTTATGCTATAAAGTAGATGCTGAGGTCTAAGTAAACTCTACAAGAACATAGCAGTTTAATGGTTAGCCCTAATCATAAGTATTGGTTCTGTTATAGTGATATCTAGGTCAGCTGTAAAAATAAGTACAGAAGGCTTTAGAGAGTTTACTTTAAAGATAAATTAGTACTAAGGTTAAGGATGATGATCTGAGCATCTGAGATGATTAGTGATATTAATACAGATTACAGATTTAGAGAGTTTAAAGTAGAACATCCAAGCAGGGATATTAGATATGACAATTAGTAGGAAACCTTCAAGTGAACTCCTTAAATAGGTAATATAGAAAAGTTACATGTATAGCCAATTGTATGCTCTCCTATAGTGGTTCATTAAACCACAATACCAATAAGTAATTAATAAAAGTCAAAAGACCAAAAAGGTCACCTTAATACTAAAAAAAAAAAAATTCCGAATAATAAAAATTTTACTTTAAAAACTTGATCTTTTTAAGTAAAATATATTTTACACATATTTGTTCAATTTGATCAGTATAGACTTTACATACTGAACTATGAATATATAAATATTTCTAATCTATTTTCTATTTAGACCTTGCTAATAATTTATTATTAAGTCTTTTGAATTGATTAGAAGTAAGTTTAAAATAAGAAAATTTTGATTTGTTTGTAAACTTCTGCAAAAAAAGTTCTTGGGCTATTTGTTTGGCAAATAGAGCACTACTAAATATTATAAAATCACCAACTTATTTAATATATTTAAGATGTTTTTCTTTATATAAGTCAGAACATAGGTATTTATTATATAATAACTTATTTTGAGAATTAGAAGCTGAAAAGAATACTTTCAAATCTTGAAATTCCTTGTTTTTAATACATTTACTATTAGATATGAGATTCAATTTGTAATTTATTAAAGTTTTTTTTTAGTTTAATCAATTTTTTACAATGTTTGCATCATACATATAATAAACCCAAAATTTCAAGTACATTTAGATGATTAGCCAACTCTGTTTGCTAAAAATACAAAACTAATTAGATAAAGTTATTAATGCAAATAATATATATGTTGCTATTCTTACCTTTTCTAAAATAGTCTTTGAATTTATCTTACAGTTCTGTTTTTTCTTTAATGCATATTCTTCAAAAACAACTAATCTATTACTTGAACACTTATTATCTATCATTTTATAGTTATTAGATGTTTTATAACAGTCTTTGATATCTGATTGTTCATGATTAGACTGTGAGAGCTTAGTTGAAATAATCAATAAATTTATATTTATCAAAAAAATTTAACTGCAACAAAATGTTTATTTAACTACAGAAGAGTAAAAAAATTTTTTTTTTCTTTTTTACTATAATAAAGTTTCTAACTATAGTGAAACTTCTGAATTCAAGAAAATAACTTTTGGCTTTAGCAAAGTTTTTGACTATAAGATGCTTCTGGCCAAGATAAAGCCTTAAAAATTCTTAACTACTACTAAACCTTTAATTATAGTAAAGCTTATAACAATATGGTAAAGTAAACTATTAGAAAAATCTTGAAACTTACAAATAAAATTTGAATATTTATTACAAATGATCTAGCCAATCAAATTCAAACTGAAATAATGGTCTGCATTAAGATTAATGTAAGCCAAAATTTGAAATAATATTCTGATTATTATCTTGTAAAGATATAGTATATAAATTTTTTTAAAATATTAAATATTTATTTTTAATAAAATTATATTTATCTTAGGTATATAATCTTTTTTTATTAATTTTAGTTTTATAATACTAGATTTATTTAAAAAGCCTTTTTAATAATATAACTTTAATAAAAATTTTAAAAATTCTTGTCCAGTTTAATAATTTTACTTCTATTAGTATTATCTAGAGTTTTTATCTAACTAATTAAACATCAAGGTAGCATTATTTGATAATGATTTAGAAGTTGGTTAAAACTTCTAAATAGCAGCATATAGGTTCTTAAAATGTATCAGTTGTGCAGAATACTTTTCTTCTAAAAATCTTTGCTATATTGTTGCTCTAAATTTATAATAGCATATTAAAAATTTAATATTCTTCAATATTTCAGATGAGAACTTTTTACTTTCTTGAAAATTAATTATTTCAACACTTAAGCAATGATTATGTTTATTAATAATCTTATTTATATGAATATAAGATTCAGAGTTATTAAGCTTTGGGCATAAAGCATTAACAAGAAATAGACAATTTATTTTTTTGATAACTGTATCTTTTTTTACTATAGAATAATAAAAACAAGCATGATCACATAGATATATATGCCTTCTTATAATTCTATTTTTACAATATACACAATCTTTTTTTATATTAAAACTATTTTTTTAGTCTACTTGCTAATAAACAAATTACATGATTCTCAATCAGAAAAAACCTTAATGCTAAATAAATCAGAACTTGTAATCTTTTTAAAAGATAATAAATTAGCATCTTTGACTTCATTAATATATTCAGTATGATCAGTATTAACCAATATTTTCAGTTTTATTAGTATATTTAATATGATTGATCTTAACCAATTCAGTCATATTGAGAACCTAAAATTAAACATATTGTATAAAAAAAATTCTGATAATATCTAATAATCAGTAAATTAGAAAAAAAATATAAAAAATATAAAAAAAAAACCTAATGATATAATAAAAGATCTAATAACACAAAAAATGCTTAGTAACTCAAAAAAAAAACTTAAGTATAAAAAAACCTGACAACACAAATAAAGGCCAGTACTTAAAAATACTTGATAGCACAAAAAAAAAGACTTAGTATATTAAAAAAAGTCTATAGATATATATATATCAAAAAAAAGATAACTGACAATATAAAAGTTACATAGAGATATAAAAATTCTAACTATAATACTTATTGCTTTTTTATGACCTCTTAAGACAATGAATGATCAACAATATAATAGATAAGAAAAAAGACCTGTAAATACAAAAAAAGAGACCTATCAATACAAATAAAAAAGATCTAAAAATGTAAAGAAAAAAGTGTAATAACAAAAACCTGACTGCAACAACATAAAATTTCTGATAATATTTACTGCTTTATTGTGATCTTTGATAATATTAAACAATTAATGATATAAAAATAATAGAAAAAAGACTTAGTAATACTTGGAAATGTAAGAAAAAATACAACAACATAAAAAAAAATCTGTCTGTAACAATGTAAAATTCCTAACAGTAATATTTACTGTTTAATATCTCTAATAATGATAATGACCAACAATATAAAAGATATGAATCAGAATTTTTTTTATTTTTTTTATTTGTACTATTGAACTATATATTATATGTAATAATTGTAATAATAAATGCATATTAAAAATCAAAATAGCACTATAATGCATATATGCTAAAAGATAAAAATTTATAAATAAAATTTTAAAAAAAATTTTTTTTTGATATTAAGATAATCTCTTTGGTTTTTTGACTTTTATTAATTACTTTTTTAGTAATATAATTTAGTAAACTATTATAAAAAAGTGTACAATTGGCTATATATATAACTTTTTTATATTATCTATTTAAAGAGTTTGACTAAAAGTTATTACTAATTGCTATACCTAACACCTTTGCTTAGATGTTCTATTTTAAATACTCTAAACCTGCAATCTGTATTAATAATACTAAGTTAAGTTCAAATTATTGTCTTAATTTTAGAAATAATTTATTTTTGAGATAAACCTTTCAAAGCCTTTTATATTTATTTTTATAGCTAACTTAATATCACTATAGTAGAACCAATATTTGCAATCAGAGTTATATCATTTAACTATTATGCTTTTGTAGAGTTTACATAAACTTCAGCATCTCCTTCATAGCATAACCTTAGTACTTTAGTATATCTTTGTTTTTTGTTCAACCTTTTGTTCAAACTTTCAATCCAAATAGTCTATATAGAACTATAACTAGTCTATTAGTATATTAGGTTAGCCTAATATTCTTTTTTTTCAGTTTATTCTAATGGCCTAGTTGGTAATACCTCTAAGACTCCCAACCCAGAGGTTTTTGCCTATTTAAATACTACAACTAGGTACTATAATCTTGGTATCTGTTTTCTTAGACTAGCTTTTATAGTAATGCTATTAAAAATTTGCCTACTTCTTTACTTAGATTTTTTTAAATAGACTTCTTGTTACTTAATTTTAACAAATTTATATAGCTACAAGAACTTATTTAGTGTTTGCACTGCCTGATTTGTCAGTTTACATTTCTCTATATAACCAGTTATACAGATATTCTATGACCTGCCAGTTATGCTAATGTGATTGTTATTACAGATATCCTAATCTAACTATTAGTAACAGTTGCTATAATATAAATACTATATAGGTAATTATTTAAATTTTTGTTATTAATAGGATTTGAACACCCAATCTACCATTTGGAAGGTTAACAATCTGACTATTTTACTAGATTACTATATTCTTAAAAAAATTTTATAATTACTAACTTATTTATATATATATATATATTATATTTTTTTTTTTTAACCTTAAGCAGTTATGCTAGTACTTTATTAAAATTCTTGAAACTAAATACATATACTGTAATTACATAGAATTTTTCAATACTCAAGTCTAGCATCACTCAGCCACCCTATTGGTACCTAAGTGCAACCTGCTGCACTATCTCAGTTAGAGAT